CCAGGGTGGTCGTCGACACTTTACCGTAGGCGTAATTTTTCAAATTATTTCTTGATCTAGAGCAGGTGATTTATCACTAGCTCTAATGATTTTAAAAATAAAAATTAAATGGTGATAAGTTTTGTCATCAGAGCTATTAGTCTGATGATATTTGTGATGAACTTGGTATTTACCACCAGATAAAGAGAATGATTTTTTAAAGTTGACTGAAATCAAATAAATGAGGTCTTGTTAGAGCAAATTCTCATTATAAAAAAATAAATAAAAAATATTATGGCTGTACACCAAAATTTAAGATACCATCATCTGTCTTTCGTGTATCTTCATTATCTTCATTCTTCAATCAATTCCAATTTGGAATTCCCAACCAAAGCTTTACTTTAATAGAAAAAGTCCAAAATATATTTATAATATAATAAATGAGTTTGAGTAAAGTCGACTGAGATAAAAATATATAATGAAAACCATAATAAAAATATATAATGCTTGGCAAGATATATACCTAATAATTAATTTTTATAAACAGATGTGCGTATGAGATTATAATTCAATTGTAATAGATTGATATGCGATTTTTATAAGTACAAGAACTTTTTAAATGTCTAAAAAAATCACTGTTGAAGTTTAGTACACTATTTTTTATACACTAGCACTAGACAAAAACACTTATGTAGGCATACAATGAGCCATGCACACTTAAAATATGCTGTAGTTTTAAAGTTATCAATTATTAATAGTCAGATGTACTTTGAAACAACTAAATAATAATAATACTTTAAATAAATACCGATATTGTGGATAATTTGTAATAGTTTTTATTTGATATTATATTTTTATATCATTTAACTGAAACTATTCAAAAGAAAAATATTTATTCTCACGAAATCTGACTACCTCCACCAGTTCGAGTTTGACATATGACGCAAAAGTGGAATGCAAAGGTGTGGACACCATAGATTTCATATCTATGGTGGACACTTTTAGTATTAGCACAGAAGAAAGAATATTACAGAAAAGAAACATAGTACACCTAGCTCTGTGATGTACTGTGAATAGTTACGTTTTCTCAGCGTATATCTGTGGTGGAATTAGCCCTATGTTTCTTTTCTGTATTGTAACTCTTTTCTGTGGTATTAGGTTTGTTTCAACATGGTGTTTGGTACCGTTCTTGTATCGTACCAATATCGGTTCATGAACGATGTACTGCGCAAGCGCATCTCCGAATGGTTTTGGAATCGGAAATGAGCTGGAACACTTTTAAAACCGTTGATTTGGGGACGATTTTGGGACGATTAACCGCGTATTGTACAACCCGCCGTTAATTTTTTTCTGAAAACATTGTTATATATATTTTTTCAAATTATGACCTTGTTTGGTACCTACTGCGCAAACTCAAAAAACCTCAATTTTATTCCCCTTGTAGGAACGTTTTTGTAAACTGTCAAATCCATTCTCCTAATTTCAGTTAGGTGGGAATGCCTAATAAATTTGTAGGTTAAGTTAACTAAAACTAACCTCTATCAACATATATCGATCGTTCTGCGCAAGTTTTACAGTACCACAAAAAATACGTGAATCGGTATGACGGTACAGAAACGATTCCGAAATCATCCATTTTTTAGCTGGAATTATTTCTATATCAACCCGGACGTCGTACAAATCAAGTTGGAACGCTAGGAATTTAATACGCATGCGTTGTACGGTTACTGAATGGTTTGGTATCGAGTTGGAACAAACCTAATGTCATGAGCTTTGTTTTGGTTCGCTTTCGTAACTGTTCCAGAACCTTCGGAACATGCGCAGTAGATATTCGCTGTTTTGATTTCGCCAGAACTAGTTCCGAACCTGTAAGTTATGTGTTTTGGTTTTTCCTTTGGAATGGTCCCATAACCATTCTCGAACAGTTTCAGAATTGATTTATTGCGCTTGCGCTTTTTGCAATTAGTTTTGTTTTTGGCATCCTGGCCAATGAACTGGAGTGGGGTAAAATGCTTGTCAATAGACTTGATGTGCGACTCTATGGGCGAAGATAGGTTATTTTTCATCTCACTCGGGAGTATTTAAAATATCCATTTTCTATTTCACATTGTTATTGTCTGATCCACCAGCTTGTGGATTGAACAATAACAATGTGAAACAGGAAATGGGTATTATAAATAGTCCCGAGTGAGATGAACAATAAAAATGGCTGCGCCCATCGAGTCGCACCTTGTTCTAATAGTACAACATGTACAATGGCATTCTACCCCCCTCCAGTTCATTGATCCTGGCCATGTTTTATGAATAAATGTATTTAATTTATCTACGTTTTCAATATTATATGGCCTCTTTCTTACTTAGACACAAGTTCACTGTGTTATTTCTTCTTTTTTGTTTATAATTTACTTTTTGACATTTAACTATTCTGACAGTTTGAGTAAAAATGGAATGGTTACAGAATTGGACAGGGATTCTTATGTGCGTATTCAAAACGTAACGAATCAAATAGAGAGAGACATTACATACAAATCGCATTCTGTGGAACGAAGATAGTCGTCTCAACACGTTCCGTATTGAAAGATCAGAATCCTAATGCAGTTCAGAATTAAGGACAATTGCGAAACAGTTCTGCGCATGGTTCTGGAACAATTCTAAAACGTGAACCAAAATAAATCTATTAGGCATTCCAAACAAATGAATTACCAGTGGGCAGGTTTAGTATATCTAAGGGTGGCGACATATGGTGTATTCTATCTACTTTACGTAAAATCATGAATAATGGATTACATTTAAATATTTTATGTCAAACACAATAAAAATAATATTTAAAAAACCTACCTATACATTTCTTCATAAATTGGCAGGCTTGGCGAGTACTACTTCGAATAAAAATAGCGTCTAAGTTGCAAGACTATGTCGCTACTCCCTTAAATATACAAGAATTTCCCACTGGCACCTATTGTTTGACAGGTCGTTGGAATGCCTAAGCATCTCCTCTTTGTTTTATGTCAATCACTAACAGTGACAGGCAAGGCTATTGTGATGTGCAGATCTAAAAGTTACCAAATAAAGCAGAAACATATTTAACAGTAGCTAAATCATTTTACTGCAATATAGAATATAAAATATTGATTGATTATACAAAAAATACCGCTCCTATAAATATTTTCATTCAGATTTCACAGGTATATATCAGGTTTTCGCACTCATTTACGCATCTATCTATTGAATGAAATCTATTTTAGACCGTTGGTTAGTCAAAGCAAACACACAAATGGGCTAGAACTGTTTAAAAATAAACAGAAATGTTTAATTTCGTTAAAAATAAACTTCTTTATATATGTTTATGTAGAGAGGTGTTTGAGTGAATTTTTGCTTTGGATAATTTAAAATTGGTCGAAAACAAAGTAATCGACTTCCGGGATTTTACGTTATAATGTATCTTTGTGTATGTTCAGATTAATTTGCGAATTTTAATCGACTATGATAATAATTATTTTATATAATTTAGTGATTTAATGTATTGACGAGTCTTTAATATCTATAAGTAGGTACATAAGTACTTAAAATGTTCTCAATAAAAAAAAAATAATTTAAATATTGCATTGAAAACACGCCTGTGGTATGTGGCTGATTTTTATCTATACATAATCGTGTTAAACAAAAATATAGATCAATTTTTTATTAGGGAGGATATTTTTTTGATAAAAGGCTCATTGGTTAAATTATTATTTTGAACTAGAAGAAACTAGTTTTAAATTTTTAAATTTAACTCGTAATTAAAATAGTTTGATTTGGCGTCGTGTTCATCGAGCATGTATAACCTCCAAAATCTCTCAACTGGTCGTCCTTTACACAAATATCTGAAAACTATAACTAATTGAAATTCACAAGCAACGTCCGTCGTTTCATCGGCAATCACTGCAACAAAAGGAGAATTTTCTATTTCTTTTCTAACTTCTACGTGATAAACATCTAACACGCACTCAAGAAGTTCATTTTGGGTTGTTTTTGAGGTACCTTTGAAAGCTTTTGTCTAATTCGGCCCTAAAATTCACCAGCTCCTTAAATATGCCTCTATTTTCCGAATTATCTTTCTCAAAGGCTTCACAAAACCTTATACAATTTATAATTTAATTTAAAATATCGATTCTTATCAACTTGTTGATTATGTTTAATTAGAGCATCACGATAAGCCGAATTTAACTGGGTTTTTATATTTAACTTACCAAGCATGGAAAAGCTAAAAACATTATTCATGTGCACTTCAAATTTTTCATGGGATTTCGTTTTATCCCATATATGGACAAGATCGTCTGTGCCCTTTTTTGACCAAGTCTCGTCACCTCCAAACAAAACACATACAAAACAAAACAGTTTATTAGTTTCTTCGCAACTACACAACCAATTATTTTTATCATAAATAGTTTTATTAAATTTACGACACCGCGATTTTTTCCCAATTCAACTTTGTTTTTCAATTTTTAAATTCTTTAATTTGTAGTTTTTCTTCTGGCGAAAAATAACTAAAAGAGTTTTTTAAGACGCCAATTTTATTCATTGACACAATAAATTAAAAACTAGGAAATAAGATATTTAAACAAGTTTATCGAAAACAAAAAGACACACATTAACGTCAAATACTTCGTAACGTAACGAAAAACTTAAAAGCGCGTAAAGAAATTCGGTTAATTCAGTCAACAATCGACATTATCGAGAAACCGCGATTATCTGAACAGCTATCGGCGCTGTGCCTGGCACGAACATTCCTTGATTTTACCGTTTAAATACATGTAAAATGTCCCCATCTCTGTTGCTCACATAGGCTGCTGGTGACACATATTGCAAATGCATATATTGTAGCATTCTTTACACATTCTTGGCATTAAATTACTGTCTATTATTTCGGCATTCAACTATAGATTATTGTTACATTTTTGCACTTAATTCCATAATGACTTTCCTAAACAACTAGGTTTTCCAAACAATAAAGTATACTAAATATATTTTTTTTGTTGCAGATATGAAAATGGCGGTATCATCGGAAGACATGGGCTTCTGCTCGAGCGAGGACTACCTAGAGAACGAGCTCCACTCTCCCACGGACAGCTCCGAAGACAGCGTGGAAGTAAAAGTGTCCGCCATCTCCCTAACCAACAAAAGGAAACGTTTAGAATCGCCCAAGACCGCAGAAACGTTCACGGGACCGCTCAAAAAACGAATGTGCCTAAAAGTCAAAGCGGAAATCAACGAAAGTCACCCGTTCAGACCGTGGAGCCCGGCGCCGAAAAAGCCCGACGAAAGTAATCAAATTAAAGTGAAGATAGAAGAACCCGTCAGTTTTCAGTTACCAAAAATCGAGTGCCAAAATAGGATGCAGCCTAAGATAGAACCGCAATTTGCGCCCTATTTCAGGCCGCCCTCCCCCGTCGATTATTACACGCAATCGGAACCCGAACCGTTGCTAAAGAAACGCGATAATGATCTCAACGAAGATATTAGAGTACCGGTACATCCACAAATTCAAAGTCTATCCACCGCTGAAACTGAAAGGATAATACTCAAGTCCACTGAAATGTTTCCTAATTTACAGAGTTCGTCTAGTAGTAGCAAATGTTCGGATATTCCTCGTAGAGAACAACGAAATTACAAAAATATGACGCGAGAGAGGAGGATCGAAGCGAATGCTAGAGAAAGAACGAGAGTTCATACAATTAGCGCGGCTTTCGACACTTTAAGACGTTCGATACCCTCGTATTCCCACAATCAGAAACTATCAAAGCTATCGGTGTTACGAATAGCGTGCTCCTATATCATGACGTTGTCTTCCGTGTTAAACGAGGATGGTACCGAATCGAATGATCCTCCTGTAGACGAATGCGTCGATTTGGTGACGAGAACCATCCAACGCGAAGGAAAATTGAGGAAAAAGAAGGACGATAACGACTGAGTCACTTTTTGTGTTGTGTTTTTCATTAGTTCCTAAAAGAATGTTTGAATTTATTCCAGAATGTGGATGCTGCCAAAATATATTTTGTACTTACAGTACATTTACGTTGTACATAGATTTATACGAGAATATTTATTTGAATATTTAATTAAAAAAAAAAATCTTATTTTTTAAACGGTTTGTTTTATTTTCCTAAATGAGAATTAGAAAATTTCGAATGCAATAGTTTGAACTTTAAAAATTCGAATGACAAAACTTCGAAACTAAAAATGTTTGAAATTAAAGCAATCTACAATGGCTCCAGGCCACTCAGGTTAACTAAATTGGTAAGTTTTTTAATAAAATAAAATGGAAATAACCTCAAAGTCAGTGGCACATAAATACCAGCGACCGTTTTCAAAAAAAAACTACTTTGGCTAATACCGCAACAGTAGAGATGGCAAAATAAGAAAATATATCAATATATTGAAATAATATATCAATATATTCACTATATCGAATAAAAAATATCCATATTTTGAATATATCGATATATTTTTAATGAAATGTACAAAAATACATTTTTTTAACAGTTTAAATACGATTTGTTTATTCAGATAAGTAATAAAACACACAATACATTTTTTGGAAAAATCCGCCGACAGTCGAACGGGCTATTTTTTTTTTAACGATTTTATACCTTCTGAAACACATTTCAAAATACTTTTTTTGCCCTGCAAACGCTATAAAATATTTTTTCTTACCTTAAAACTATTAAAATGTGTCCTCCAAATTCGATGTTAAAAAAATTTGAACTACATCATTTTGATTAATTTCTTGTTATAGAAACTGCTAAATAATAACACTAGACCATTCATAATGCAATAAACCATCCAAATTTTTTCGTAAACAGTTTATTTTTTTAATTTAAGCCCATGTTTAGGTTCGTCGGAATTTTTTAATTTTCGTAAAGACTATGACAATAAGATTTGCAGTGTGACATATGTCTAAAAGAAATACAATGTTGCCATATCAATTATCTATTACATATCAATGGTAATTTTTACCTATGCCCTGCGTTGTACCAGGCCAACCAATTGACTTCAGTATCAGAAAAGTTATATAAAACTAACGATTTAAAAAATACCCATATCAAGATCTTCTTCCTCACCCTCATCGGCAGAGTACTCTTCGACGACTTAACCTAAACTAACAATATACAATAAGAAGATGAAGCAACGATTTCTTGTAAATTTTAACCCATACCTGGCTACGCCGACCAACATAGACTCCAACGGCCTGGACACAGCTCAAATTGAAAAAAAAAACCTAACCTAACCAACCCTCATTAGCGTCTGGCCAGTGAACCTCGATCCCAACTTTTAACGAACGTGTCTTGTATCGTGGGTATCTAATAATATGAAAATATACAATAAGAAAATGAAGCAACGACTTCTTGTAGGGTGACGGCTTCGCCGCCACCAGAAAATTTTTAAACCATACCTGGCTACGCCGACCGGCATAAACTCCAAAGGCCTGGACAAATTTTTTTTTGTTAAATATTAGATAAGTACCGACATGCCGTAATTAACGTACAATCATCATGAAATGAAATAAATAGACGGTTGTCTGTGATTACTACAAATGTTTTCACTTCGAGATCCAAATTTACCTGCTGGCCAGACACTATGTAATTTTTCAATTGAATTATTTCCTGACATATGTTTTCTTACTCGATTTGGCAACACCGCATTTATAGAAACTAGACACATCAATTGTCATTGAAAATAATTTAATATTATCTGGAGTGCGTTTAGAAACCTCGTCCATCGTGTCTGACCACATAGATTAGAATAGGGTCCAGACGCGCCGTGCGAGGTTTCTAAACGCACTCTTGTTTTTCTAACAAACTAAAAATGAAAAATAAGAAAATTTGATCGTTTATGAAAAAATTTGGAACGGTTTATTGCTCTCTATGAATGGTCTTATATTGATATTTAGCCGTTTCTACAACAAGAAATCAGTGAAAATGGTTTGTTTCACATTTGTTTTATGATGGAGACCCGACAACAAATTTTAAGGATTTTAAGGTAAAACTTTTTTTGTAAATAAGTGTTAGCAGACTCAAAATTGTTATGTATAGTATGTTTCAAAGTGTCTAGAAACTCTTTATAACATTTCAATAGTTAGTTATATCCGCAGTTCGAGTGTCGGCGTATAATATCCATTTTTTTTAATATAGAGACGAACCAAATTAACTCAAACTTAAATATTTACTTAAAAGTCTTTATGCTACATTATTATTTGAAAGCTTTTTGAGAAGAGAACTCAAAAATAATAAATTTGACAATCTCTTACCAGATAGACGGATTTGGCTTTTTGTTGCTGTCAAACCAGCTTCCGAAAATAGTCTTCACTTGGACCACAAGTTACTACTGCAAAAAAATATTTTTTTCTACGTTCATGCAAAAACAAAACTTTATTGAACTATATTTAGTGAAAAAATTGGTTCTTTATTGCACTAGTGCAATAAAAATTTTATTGCACTCATCTGTCATTTTACTATAGCGTTTTATGATCATGACAAACACAAATATTCAAATCAATGCCAAATATTTAGTCCATTTTCATTTTCTGTGTTACGTTTTAAAAACAATTGCATATTTTATATTATTTTCAATCATTTAATAAATAAATTAATAAAAAAATGTATTTTATTAAAAATGTCATTACAAATTATAAACACAAACATAAATAAATGCTTCAAATAAAGGTACACGATCATGGCTACTGTGATTTGGATAATACAACTGCAGTTCTATAAAACAGTTTTTGGTTTTTGCATGAATGTAGAAAAAATATTGTATGTAACTCGTGCAAAAAGTGTTTATTGCACTCGACGTGTTGTCCAACTCTGTCTGACGACAATTTCACGTCGCGTGCAATAAATACTTACTTTTTGCACTTGTTGCATAAATAACTATTATTAACCACTCTTAACACCGAAAATAAAACTAAAAATATGAAATTCATACATCAAACCAAACATAAAAATAAAAGAACGTCAATCACCGTCGCACACTGCGGACACTTACTGACTAATCACAGAACTGAAATTAGGAGAATGGCTTTGATGTCAATTCTTGCTCAAAATTTACGTTCCGTTAAAGAGATTCAAAATGGAGGTTTGAGTTTGCGCAGTGGGTATCTGTCAGACATGTCAATTGGCATTTGTGAAAGTGATTTGAAAATAAATGTTAATTTTATTCATTTACATAAAAATTTGGGACGATTAACCGCGTATTATATAACCCGCCGTTAATTTTTTTCTGAAAACATTGTTATATATATTTTTTCAAATTATGACCTTGTTTGACACCTACTGCGCAAACTCAAAAACCTCAATTTTATTCGCCTTGTAGGAACGTTTTTGTAAACTGTCAAATTCATTCTCCTAATTTCAGTTCTGTGTGACTAGTGTTTTTGATATATCGAAAATATTATGACGATATTTTTTCGATATATCGGTAGTAAAATATCGATTAAAATGTATCTATATATTTGTGAAATATATCCATATTTACAAAACATCGATACATCGTTGCCATCCGTATGCAACAGGCATTGAACATAGACTAGCTGAAAATCTTGTTCCATTCTGACACCAACGATATTCGACCAAAGGTGTAATAACATGTTGGAAATAAAAAAAAAACGAACTCGTATTTATGTTATTAGTACTTAATTGATCCTTTTAGGTATAAAGCAAGTGCAAAGAGCAAAATTAAAAAAAAAAATAAGTAAGACACAAGAAAAAAAATATATTGAAATAAACTGAATGAAATTTGGTATAATAACAAGAAGTTTTAGCGAAACAACTCTTTTTTATATCTTTTAAGTTTTTGTTTAAGAACTTTGATTTGTCTTGTTTTTTTCTTTATTCTTTTCTACCTGTTTCTAGCATAGATTCCTTATTTGCAGTTCTATTTGAAGGGCCTGGCTCAACTTCCAAATGAAATGCTCTTCTTTTTAAGTCCTACAAACAATCTATTATTACGGTAATGTTTTGAATTATATACAAAAGGGTTGCTAAGTGCATAACATAATAATGAAAAGTAATTAAAAAAATATATACCTATGTTTAATTATGTTTATTAGTATACGCATCTTCTTCGGCTGCATGTATTTAGGGAATTTGGGAAATATAGTGGGAACTGCTCCATTTAGTAAACGTCTTTTACAGTCCGTCCCATAAAAAAAGTCTTTCAAAATGTTTTGAACACAATCTATCATTTGTCATAGGCATCCAATTTGCAATTTTCGTTGCCTGAATCTAAATATTTTTTTGCTGGATCCACAGGAAATCTAAAATAAAACAACAAATAAACATTGCTGCAATTAAATAAAATGCAAAATTAAATTAGAATTTATTAAAAGTTAATATTTAGAATTGTACGACACGCCACTGGAAAAATTACTTGTTTTGCCATTTTAATATCATTAATTGCTTAAATATCAATGAAAATCATAAAATAAACTTGGTGGGTAAAATTTATTACCCACCTTGTACAATGTACATGTACAATATATAAAATACCAAGTTGTATAAGACCAAATAAAACGAAAAATATAAGAAAATATACAAAGTAAAAACGATTGATGTTAATTATTTACCTGTGAAACGTAATATCTGCTTCTTTCTTGTCGCTATAACTTTTACACTATTGCAATAGTATCTCAGATTTAGGAAAAACACGTTTAAGCTATATCAGGAATTTCGTTGAAAATCACAAATATCCGGTCACGTGGCCGAAATCCCTACACCGGAAGTAGCAGAACCGAACGACAGAAAGTACTTGCAAAGAAAGGGATTTTTTTATTGTTATAGATTATATATTATTTCATTGTCAGCAAAATCGAAAAAAAAACATCGAGAAGCAACTTTACATCGGGACAGTACATATTATTCATCCCCTCCCCTGTACCAAACTACAAATAGCCAGCAAAAACACGACATGCCAATTTTTGCAGTCAAATCAGGGACTATAAAGAGATTATTTGAAAAAATATTTTGCTGCCATACCACTGTTAGGTATGCAACCAGTATTACGAAATATTGGACTAAAAATGGCGATTTTATATAAATAAA